TAGATAAATGTGTTCAAGTTAAACATTTATTCTACCGATGTTCTGGTAGGTGAGAGATAAATGTGTTCAAGTTAAACATTTATTCCACCGATGTGCTGGTAGATAAATGTGTTCAAGTTAAACATTTATTCTACCGATGTTCTGGTAGGTGAGAGATAAATGTGTTCAAGCTCAACATTTATTCCAAAACATACTTTCATCTTCTGACACTTATAGCTATTACTTGACCTCCGGAATTTCTACTTTGGCCATCTAAGCATTGATTTAAATTTTTTAGCGATTTTAGCGTCCCGTTGTTGACTTCCGTACAACTATATTTTCTTGAATGTAAAAAAAAATGCTGTTTTCGGGCATGAATTGCCGGATAATTGTTTCCAGCAGATCTATCCTTTTCCACGTCTGTTATCTAGTGTGTCTCTCAGAAATGTATATGTGTGTGGTGGGGGGGGGGGGGGGGGTCGACTCTCAGTCGAAGCTGTCCGTGATCTGATTCATTGTGAGATGCAGGTATATATTCGTCCACTAAGAGCCGGTGCTAGAGACTGGGATAATGCCACTCCAGAAAAAGTATCAACATTATCTGAATGAGATGCTTATATACAGTACTAGGATAGAGGGTGCATTGACGTAGGTGGAGATTCTCACGAGACAAATATTACCAAGAGCAATTGAGTGGGGTATGAAAAATTGGAGCAAGCGAGAAAAAATAAAATAAAATCAATACTTAAATGGGCAAAGTAGAAACCCTGTAGGTTTGGTAATAGCTATAAGTGTCAGCTGAGGTAAGTATTATTGGAAATGCATTTTAAATTTAGACTGATGTTGGTAGATAACAGATAAATGTGTAAATCTTAAACATATATTCTACTGATGTGTTGGTAGGTGACAGATAGATGTGCGCAAGATAAACAGTTATTCTACTGATGTGTTCGTTCTTTGACTTACTTACAAATATATTACGTTCATATTGTCTCACAAAAATGACCTGAAAATTGGTTTTAATATTATCCTTAACCTACCGAGGAAATGTGTTATTAGATATCGTGTAAAACGATTTTTTTTAATACTACTTTGAGTCATTGTTCGGTTAATCGGAGGTGTCGTCAATGATTATTTCAGCATCTTGAACACCTTGCCATGAAGTCCCTAAAACCACATTATAGAGCTATCTGTACACAGCTGCTGTTGTGTCTGGATCAGACGGTTTGAATAATTGTGACATTATATTTCAAAATTAAGGAAATAAGCTATAGCTTGTCATAATCCATTACTTACACGTTGAAAGTTTATTTAAAATATTACATGTAAAGCCCCCAGTGGCACAGCGGTCTGTCTCTGGACTTACCACGCTAGAATCCGGGTTTCGATACCCATGGTGGGCAGAGCACAGAGAGCCCATCGTGTAGCTTTGTGCTTAATTATAAACAAACAAACAAACAAATCACATGTAAATTTATATACAACGATTTGCTGAAATCACGATCAAAACTATATTTTACAGGAACCAACTGTTACTTGTTTCAATACAACCCAGCAAATCGGATAGCATTGTCTACAATTATTACCCAAGTTTTCAGGTATCTGTAATGATAATCCTGCTTCATAGATTGTATTCTAGCTGTTATACATCATAGTAAAATTCTAGGCTTTAGATACTGTAGTTAAAGCCTTGAATATGCAGATAATATTGAATGTCTTCTCCTAACATTATACAATAGGTTTTAAATACTTGAAGTAAATGGTAACTAAAGTTAACTGATCCTTCTACAAATAAAGACTAATGTCTATAAATAAACATTGAACAACTAAGTTAACTTTATTTGTAGAATTTTATATATTTGTTTACTGAAATTCTCATCTTTTGTTGAGATTTTCAATATCTTTAAAATTTATAAACAAAAATTGTTTAGGCTCCATTTTACGGAATCAATGCTATTAATTTAACGAAATTTGAATACGATATAACAAAATTCTAATTCGATAAAGACATTCTAAGTGTTAATATTGATAAGCAAATATTTCTATCAGAGGATAAAAAAATGTGTACTCATCCTTTTTAAAGTCTAATATTAACCGTGTTCTTTTATCATTGTAACAATCCTTTTCGTTTTCATGTTTTGTATTTTTTATTTCCAAGGTATAAATAAGACTGTGAGATCTATGAGAATACAAACCATCTTTAAGCATTGTTTTATCTGTTTCAGGACATCGAACTTTTTGGCTATTTTGGTGGGTACCTGGGAATGTGGCTAGGTTTTTCGGTACTGAGCATATCAGACATTGTGCTAACTTTACTTTCAACTTTGTTCTCCAGATGTCGCAAAAAGCAAGTAATAATGGATTCGTCTAGTATTAATGAACAGAATCCGGTGACCAATGGCAATAAAACTCAGGATTTTCTTGAATCTATTTCAATCATCACGGTTAGAGATTTCCCATAGAATTTTTTTCAACTTTTAAGAAACATTTAGTTTAGGGGAACACAAATATAAAGATATATGTATGTATGTACGCACGCACTAAAAGTGTTGTTGTTTTTCTCGGTACTTTATAATTGAAGTCAAAAATCAAACCAATTATATTGATTGACTATATCAAACTCAAATATGTTTATCCTCGACATAAACAAGAAATAAGATATCTACGTTTCTTTGTATCTTATCTATCAGTAAAGAAGTTAGACACACCTATGTACAAGTGGCTCTTGCGTAGCTTTGCGCAAAAATGTTGAAACTCTGTCTCCTAACGTTTATTTCAAGGTATATTTTGATGAAGTTAGAGGAAAATATAAACGAATTTCAACATTTCTAACTCGCTACGGCGAGGCTTCAAGCATTCGCTAAACTAAAGGATGCTAATATATATATATATACATAGCAATGGTACAATAACGCGGGAAAAATATAGTGAAAATGTTGCAATTATTGAACCTTTTTAATTATCTAACATTAAATGTTGAGTCACAAACCGGATAAACGAAAATATAACACAGCTTTGGTCTTGAACCTAGGATCTCTGACTAAGAGGTCCAGGGTTCAAGACCCTGTGTCTATTTTTTAAAATTATCATTAACACAGATTGTGTATATCTTTACTTTTCTGCAACAAAAAGAGTGAATCATTTGAAAATTCTTACAGAAAATGTTAAAACACAAATAACAAGCAGGTGAGACTCATGACGTACTCTCTGCATCTATACACCAATAACAAGCAGGTGAGACTCATGACGTATTCTCCCCATCTGTACACCAATAACAAGCAGGTGAGACTCATGACGTACTCTCTCATTCTATACATCAATAACAAGCAGGTGGAACTCATGACGCACTCTCTTTATCTATACACCAATAACAAGCAGGTGAGACTCATGACGTACTCTCT